TTTACGCAGCTCATTTACACACTTTTCCTGAAGATAGAAGAGTTTGTTGAATCTGACATGGCATGTTCGTACGAACCCTTTGTACGAACAAAAGTAAGAGAAATTTAGGATAAAAATACGAACATGTTCTTGCATGAGGCCCATTGATCATAATGGTTGTGTATTTGCTGTGGAGGTCGGAGTGGAGCCTCATTTTGTGTAAATTAGGGGTAAGAAAGCAGCTGAGCAGTTGCATGTTCATTAAGCTGTAATCGCTCTAGGTGGGCAGATTTTTATCTATTTTTTTAAGCCCAAACTTTTCTGCCACTCTCGTTGTTGCTTCTGATGTTGGGATGAAACTCCTCAGTCCTCTGCCACCGATGGTTCAGACCTGCATGGGCTTCATTCTTTCTTTACTTCATCACCAAACATTCACCAGACATCTCTCCCCCCACAGCTAGCTGCTTACTTTACCACTCCAGCCTAACTCCAAACTACCAGCATCCATCCTGGCATGGGGTACAGTAACCTTCACTACACTTCATGCAGTTTTCAACTTTTTTATCATCATATTTGTTTTTATGTAAGAAGTCTTATATTTGTTATTTCTGCTGATCTTTTCGTTGCCAGAATTGTTTAGTTTTACTGAAATTTTCCTTTAAAAAAGGGGTTTTGCACAAAATTTGTTCATACATTTATGGTAAGTTAAAAAGCTGCTCATTGTTGCTTTTATGTTTTAAAAAGTTCAAATATTAAGAAAAATCACATTAAATAGTTCATTTTCCTAATTTAACCCTCTCTTCTCAAACACATTTTTTATCCCTCCTCCCTGTTAGACCATGGAAGTCCAGATGGAGGAGTGGTATCAGGAGGTGGGGCAGCTCCAGGTGCAGGCGGCGTCCGTCCCGCAGCAGACGCAGGTCAAGGAGACGGTCGCCGAGCGGCAGGTCGCCGTGGAGACCAGGATGGCTCGTTTGATCGAGCCACTAAAAGAGAGGCGGCGCATCCTTCTGGCATCTAAAGAAGTTCATCAAGTCGGGCGAGACCTGGAGGACGAGATTGTGAGTCGCAGACACCCACAGACAAACAGGAAGTCATTTTACAGTCTGCAGGCTTGTTTACAATCTGTAGTCTTGTTTACAGTCTGCAGGCTTGTTTACAATCTGTAGTCTTGTTTACAATCTGTAGTCTTGTTTACAGTCTGCAGGCTTGTTTACAATCTGCAGGCTTGTTTACAGTCTGCAGGTTTGTTTACAGTCTGCAGGTTTGTTTACAGTCTGCAGGCTTGTTTACAATCTGCAGGCTTGTTTATAATCTGTAGTCTTGTTTACAATCTGCAGTCTTGTTTACAGTCTGCAGGCTTGTTTACAGTCTGCAGGCTTGTTTACAGTCTGCAGGCTTGTTTACAATCTGCAGGCTTGTTTACAGTCTGCATGTTTGTTTACAATCTGCAGGCTTGTTTACAGTCTGCAGGCTTGTTTACAGTCTGCAGTTTGTTTACAATCTGCAGGCTTGTTTACAGTCTGCAGGCTTGTTTACAATCTGTAGGCTTGTTTACAATCTGCAGGCTTGTTTACAATCTGCAGGCTTGTTTACAGTCTGCAGGCTTGTTTACAATCTGTAGGCTTGTTTACAATCTGCAGGCTTGTTTACAATCTGCAGGCTTGTTGACAATCTGCAGGCTTGTTTACAATCTGCAGGCTTGTTGTAAAAAAACAGAGGAAACTTTTACAAATTAAAGTTTATTTTTCCACACACTGACAAGCGTTCTCCTCTGTGTGGTTTCAGCTGTGGATTCAGGAGCGTCTCCCTCTGGCCATGTCTCAGGAGCATGGCTCCACGCTGCAGGCCGTCCAGCAGCTGATGAAGAAGAACCAGGTGAGGAAATCAGAGCAGCTCTAACTGCAGACTAATGAATACCTGAGAGTTGCCCTCATTGGCTACCTTCACACTACAGGCACATGACACCCAAATCCATTTTTTGAAATGTTTTCAAAGCGACTGCAGTCTGAACGCTCGTGTCACATTCCATCCAATTTTTTCATTACTAGCTGCGTTTCCATTGACCGTGAAAATGCGCAAATTAGAATTTCAAAAAAAATTTTGCTCAATAGAAACATGTCAATTTCGAATAAAAAATTACGTTTTTCAACAAAATGGTTTTGTGCCAGGAAGAGGTGGTTTTTCAGTTGTATCGAAATTGATGTATTTCACAAAACTGCAATGGAAACACTTTTTTCGCATCACGAGAGTCACGTGATCAACAACCGGATGTTTCTACAGGCGAAAAAGACAACGAAGAAGAAGGTAACAGGAAGTAAAAGTAGTAGTAAAATCTCTGAAGTAGTAAAAGAAAGTAGTAAACTCACCGACTACAATTTCCCAAAAACACAGCATACGTAGCCGCTCACAAGTATAAAGGGCTTGTCGCTGGAAAGCCTCGATAAGACACCAACGTCTCCTCTGATGGCTGATGATGATGAGCGCTAGTGTCGTGGTAGCAACATGCTATGTGTTTACATCCATTGCCGCCATGTTTGTAATGACTTTTCGCAAGAAAAAACATATTCACGCGTGACTTTAATAGCATTTCTTACTTAATAGAAACACCGCAATTGCAAAACTGTGTTTTTTCGACAGAATATGGACAAAGTTTTGCGTACATTTGCAATGGAAATGCAGCTAGTGAGGTGGGGTGAAGGATGGATAAGACACTAACCTCAAGTCACGCTGTTTAAATCTGTAGCTCCATGTGTTTACAGCTCCAAAACACAAGTCCAGTTGCTTCCATACGTGTCAGGTTTTACGGATTGTCCACAAGTTATAAGGATTTCACGTCATTTTGCAGGTATATGGACGTACAGAGCAATCGTACGGATTTTTTCAAGTCTTACAGATTTTTTCAAAACTTCATTTTCAAATTTATCTAACATGTCAGAGCCTGTAGGATGATTTAAAAACAATAAATAACATAAAAAACGTCTTCCAACCTGTTCTGCCGCAAGAAATAAGTTCTGTACTTTTTCCCGCTCTCCTTCACGGAGCATCCGGTCAGAGGCAGGTTCAGATATAAACACTGAACTAAACAAGCAGGTCAGATAATTATTTAATCGGCTCTGATTAAACAACAACTTCAGATTTGACGTGCTAAAAGTAGCACCAATGCTAACTCTGTAAACAAACAAGCCGGTGTTACACCATATTTTATGACTGTCATATATTGTGACCAGAGGGGGCGCTGTTGCATTTCTACAACAGAACTTGGCCGAACATGACCACAAAGAATATGATACGCCAACTGTGTAAGCCTGAGGCTGAAGAAATGAAGAAAAAAAACTGTTGACTGTTAAACATGGTCACAGAATATGACAGCTGTCATATATTGTGACTTCACTGTAGCTAAGGAAATAGTAAAAAATTTTATTCAAAAACTATTTATACTAATTGTTTACATCCTCTAGTGTCAGAAAAATAACTTGATCACTGACATAGTGTCTGTTATTAAATTAGTACAGGGTCACATAATTTAGCTATTATCATGTATAGTAGTAATAGTAATAGTCAACATGTCAGTGATCAGAAGTTATTTTGCTGACATTAGAGGATGTATACAATGAGTAGGATCAGTTTATAAATAAATATTTTCATTATTTACCAAGCTACAGTGAAGTCATAATATCTGGCAACAGTTGTCATTTTGTGACCTCTGGGTTACACTTTTGGCGTATCATATTCTTTGTGGCTATTTTCGGCCAAGTTCTGTTGTAGAAGCGCAACAGCGCCCCCTCTGGTCAAAATATATGACGGTCACAAAATATGGTGTAACACCGGCTGAATGAGACGTCACGTCTTTTACTGCGCATGCGTGTCACATCAGCGCTGTGGAGCGTTCACACAGGAGTCAGATGCAGGTCGCATTTAAAATGTAATGTGAACGTTCACACAAAAAGATGGGATTTAAAAAAAATCAGAATTGAGCATTAAGACCTGCGGTGTGAATGTAGCCAAAGATGCCTCGTCTTCAAACAGACTCTTCAGCGGGAGCTGGAGGGCCACAGGAGCAGAGTGGAGGACGTCCTGGAGAGGGCGGGCATCATCGCCTCTATACGCAGCCCAGAGGCCGACTGCGTCAGGGCCGGCCACGACCAGCTGGCTCAGCTGTGGGACCTGCTGTGGGCCGAGACGGAGCGCAGGCAGCTGGTGCTGGATGCCATGTACCAGGCCCAGCAGTACTACTTCGACACGGCCGAGGTGGAGGCCTGGCTGAGCGAGCAGGAGCTGCACATGATGAACGAGGAGAAGGGAAAGGCGAGTTCATATTAAAATCTGTTAGAACAGCCTCAGTAGAGACTCACCTGTAAACCAACCGAGACTCTGGTTTCGTTGTCCTGCAGGACGAGCCGAGCACGCTGCAGCTGCTGAAGAAGCATCTGCTGCTGGAGCAGACCATCGAGGACTATGCTGAGACCGTCGGCCTGCTGTCCCAGCAGTGTCGACAGCTGCTGGAGATGGGGCATCCAGACAGGTGGGCGTGGTCAAACATAGATTCATTTTTTTAAGTTAATAATTAAATTTTATAAATTTGTCGAATGTATCTGTTAAATAAAACTTATTATTTGAATGCTGAGTCAGCAAACTGTGTTCTGTCCATCAAAACATTTAGCTCGATCAGGAATGAGGTGCTGGACTTTTACATTTTTTAATTAGTTTATTTTATGTACAAATATTTTCCACTATAGAAATACACAGAGAGCTCTTCAGTTCCATCAAAATGTTTTCTATGTTTCATGTACTTACCCTGGTTTTATATTTTTATGCTCCATTTAGCTTTTAGGTTTAGTTTTGCTAATCTTAGATTTTAGCTATGGTTTTGCTCATTTGAGTTTTTTTTCCTATAGAATTGCTAATTTTAAGTTTTAGCTACAAGTTTGCTCATTTGTGTTGTTAGCTAAAGCAGAGGTTCTCAAAATGGGGTCCGTGAGAGGTATCTTGGGGTTCCTAAAAAAAATTCACTAAATTGTTAATTTGCGTTTTATTTTTAAAAATGCATGGAGAACAGTGAACTAATAAAACAAACATAATAAACAAAAATAAAATATATATTCCCACGGCATTTAGGGGTTGAAATTAAAATAAATTATCTTTTCAGCATGGGGTTCATGAGGGGGTCCCTGGGATTTTTTTCGCCCTCGTAAGGGGTCCCCAGACCCAAAAAATTTGAGAACCCCTGAGCTAAAGGCTTGCTTGTTTTAGATTTTAGCTACTGTTTTACTGTTTTTAGCTCTAAGCTTCAGTTTTGCTGCTGTTCTTGTATTCTTTTGCTAATATTATTCTTTCTTTTAGCTACAGTTTAACTTATAGAAACGATATAGCTTATTTTTCTTTTTAGTTACAGGCTTTCTGGTTTTAGGTTTTAGCTGCTGTTCCTACATTATTTTGCTACTGTTTTGCTAATTTTAGATTTTAGTTATGGTTTTGCTCATTTTAGCTTTTTTTCTACAGATTTGCTCATTTTTAATTTTTAATAGCAGTTTTGCTGATCTTCACTTTTAGCTACATTTTTACCTTTAGTAAGTTTTAGCTACAGGTTTGCTCATTTTAGTTGTTAACTACAGGCTTGATTTAGATTTTAGCTACCGTTTTACAGATTTTAGCTCTTAGCTTCTGTTTTGCTGGTTTTTACTTTTGCTACTGTTTTCGTGTTTTTTGATAATGTTTTGCTAAATTTAGATTTTAGCTATGATTTTGATCATTTTAGCTTTTTTCTATAAATTAGCTTATTTTAACTTTTAGCTACCTTTTTACTTTTAGTTGTGATTTAGAAAATTTTAAGTTTTAGCTACAGGTTTGCTCATTTGTGTTGTTAGCTACAGTGTTGCTTGTTTTAGATTTTAGCTATTGTTTTATTGATTTTAGCTCTTAGCTTCTGTTTTGCTGCTGTTCGACTACTCTTTTCTACCGTTCTCTTATTTTAGATCTTTTTTATACAGTTTCAGTTCTTTTAGCTGCTGTTTTGTCATTTAAACTTTTTTGTTATTGTTCGGCTTATATAAGCTTTGACCTGCTCACGTTAGTGGTGATTACAAATGAAACAGAAGTCTCTGATCATGTCTGCTTCTGTCTGCAGCTCCTAACCACCCAGCTTTTTAAAATAAATTTTGTTTTCATCTGTTTTTATTTCCTGCTCGCCAGCGAACAGATCAGCAAGCGTCAGTCGCAGATCGACCGTCTCTACGTGTCTCTGAAGGACCTGGTGGAGGAGAGGAAGAGTCGCCTGGAGCAGCAGTACTGGCTGTATCAGCTGAACAGGGAGGTGGACGAGCTGGAGCAGTGGATCGCTCAGAGGGAAGTGGTCGCCAGCTCTCCTGAACTGGGTCAAGACTTCGAGCACGTCACTGTGAGTTTGTTGACAGGCGGGTTCTGTGGGTGAAGAGCAGGTTTGAGTGACTCCTGTAGACAAAACTGAGGGAACGATAAACTCACGCCTCTCACTTCCAGGTCCTGCAGGAGAAGTTCACAGAGTTTGCATCGGAAACGGGAAACGTCGGGCAGGAACGCGTCACAGCCGTCAACCAGATGGTGGACGAGCTCATCGACTACGGCCACGCCGAGGCGGCGACGATAGCCGAGTGGAAGGACGGCGTGAACGAGGCCTGGGCCGACCTGCTGGAACTCATGGAGACCCGAGCTCAGATGCTGGCAGCGTCACACCAGCTGCACAAGTTCTTCTCTGACTGCAAAGAGGTAAGAAGCGAATCTCAGCCGTAGCTAGAAACAACTCACGGTATGAAACACATGTTTTATTGGGTTGCAGGTTTTGGCTCAGATCGAGGACAAACATCGACGGCTACCAGAGGTTCGGGCTCGGCAGGGCAGCACCTCCAACACCAGCACCCTGCAGAGACTCCTGCACAGCTTTGAGCAGGACATCCAGCTGCTGGTCACACAGGTGGAGCCACACAAACTCGGGCCTCTGATTTATTGCTTATTGTGTGACGCTTCACAGCGTTCACACAATATTTCAGCTATTTATAATTTTTTTTAGCCATTTCACTTTTTTAGCCACTTTTTTGCCACTGAAAATGAATGGAGCTGTTTTCAACATCCTTAAAATCCTTCAAAATGTTTCTAAATCTTTACAGCACCTTACACATTTTGTTCTGGTTCTGCTCTTTTTGACTTCCTTGTCTACTTATAGCTATTTTTTTTACTATTTTTTCTGCTATTTCAGCTAAAATTCTGCTTCTTTCTGATATTCTTCTGCTTTTATCTACTTTTTTGTGCCTTTATCTGCTACTTTGTGCTATTTATGCTTCTTACAGATGCTTTCTGCTATATTCAGATATTTGCTGAAATTCTAGCTAAAGTTTAGCTGCTATTAGCTAAACTTAGCTTTTCTGAGCTAAATACACATTTTTGTAGCTATTACAAATTTTTTCGACTGAGTTCAGCAAACTTGTGCTCCTTATGCTAATTAAATAATTACCAGCTACCTTTTAGCTGTTTTCAGTGAAAATTTCAGCTGTTTTAGTTATTTTACTACAAATTATCACTTTTATGTAATTTTGTTTTAGCAATTTTTCAACTATAACTATTTCAGCTGGGTTCTAATTTCAAATTGTGGCTGCTACCTTTAACTTATTTTATGATAATTTTAGCTATTTTATGCTACTTTAGCTATAGATCTACTTCTTTCTGCTATTGTTCTGCTTTTTCACTTTTTATGCTCTTTTCTGCTACCTAGTGCTATTTATTATTCTTACAGATGTTTTTAGCTATATTCAGCTATTTTAGCTCTTAGCTTTTAGCTGTTTTCTGGTTTCAACTAGATTTGTGCTTCTTTTTACTGTTTTTCTGCAAAGTTAGGCTTGTTTGCTTCTTTCAGCTTTTCAAAGTGAGCTCACATTAACACCTTTCCTATTAAATATTTTCAGCTCAATTTCAGCAGCTTTCAGCTGAAGTTTTCAGCACGAAGCATTCACACTAGCGTTTTCACAGGAAATGCAATTTCTCTAATTCTTATTATTTTTATTACTTTATCAAACCTGCTCCGTGCACCTGGCATAAAAAAACAGCAGCACTTCGTTTTTATGCGTATGCATCAGGTGCGTCAGCTGCAGGAGAGCGCGGCCCAGCTGAGGACGGTGTACGCGGGCGAGAAGGCCGAAGCCATCGCGTGTCGGGAGCACGAAGTCATGCAGTGCTGGAAGGAGCTGCTGACTTCCTGCGAAGAGTGTCGACTGCAGATCACAACCGAGACGGACAAGCTGAGCTTCTTCAGCATGGTCCGGGATCAGATCATGTGGATGGAATCGATCATCTGTCAGATCGGCACAGGAGAGAAGCCCAGGTAAAGGTGGTTTAATGAAACCAAACGTCTCGTTCTGTAGAGGTGACAGCTTTGATGTGAGCGTTTGCTCCTGCAGGGACGTGTCCTCGGTCGAGGTGCTGATGAACTACCACCAGAGCCTGAAGAGTGAAGTGGACGCTCGCAGCCAGAGCACTCTGGAATGTATCGAGATGGGAAAAATGCTGCTGGCTGCTAGAAACCCTGCAGCTGAAGAGGTGAGGCGAGGACAGAAATAATAATAAATGCAAGATCTCATCAATATGTTGTAGGTTTTGCTCGATAAATTAAAGTGTCCCTGACATCAAATTTTTTGCATTAAATATGAATGCATTTTTGGAAAGATAACATTAAGAACATATTGCAAAAGAAATTTCAAACCGCTGAGATGAACAGTTGATGAAATTTTTGCATGTGAAGTAACAGGAAGTGATGTCAAAGGGGAATGTCTGAATGTGAACACAGCGTTGCTACAGTAGCTAACAACACAGACTGTAGAGAAGAATCTGCTGTTTCTTTAGATTATTTTAATCACTATCAGAGAGATGATGAAGAGTCAGAGTTCAAATAATATTATTTCAATAAACAAAGTCCAGGGAGTTTTCTTTTTTAAAGAGTTCCCCTTTGATGTCACTTCCTGTTTCACTTTGGCTGAACCAAGTTCAGAAGAAAACAGGCCAGTTATGTGACGAAATGGGTAAAAATCATGTATTTTAAGTTTCTTACATTTATAAAAATGTTTTCTTTGTATTTGAATGATATGATTGTAACAGGCACTTTAAAGTTAAATATCTACATCAGACAAATTTGACCTGTTGAAGCAGGACCAGCCTGTTCACGTTAAAGTCAGGTTTTCAGTGTTCTACCTTCATAAAATACTGATTTATGTTGTTTTATTAATCCTAAGAATTTAGTGAAACGCTCCTCAAATAGCTGGAAAATGCATAGTTTTTATCAGATCTTTTACTCCTGGACCCCCCTAGAACTGTTTCAGTCCACAGCTGCTGGTTACCATGAACAGGTGTTCCTCATATAACACCAAACAGAAAACTTTTTCATTTCTTTTGTGAATGGATATAAATTTGATGTGAGATTTAGAAAACTGAAGCTAATTGTTGGATTGTGAAGTCAACATTTTAGCTTAAAAAAAGACTATATAGAGAAAAAATATGAATTAAAGTTTTAAACCTGATATTTTTCCAAGTAATTCTGACTTTTGGCTCATATGGTGAAGCAATATTTCAGTTTCGGTGTGAGAGGTTCACTGGTGTCATGGCTTGTCACAGTTTGGCATCAGAGATGAGACAAGAAACATATTAATTCTGGAGTTTTCTGATTCAGATGTTGGTGGTTTTGAATTTCAGATCAAGGAGAAACTGGAAAAGGTGATTTCTAAGCAACAAGAGCTGTCTGAGAAGTGGGACAAGCACTGGGAATTCCTACAGCACTGTAAGAACTCGCGTTCAAAGGAGGAGAAAAATAGGAAAACAGAGCTTCGCCATATTTCCACATGAATTTACTCCTGCTGTCCTGCCCTTTAGTGTTGGAAGTGCATCAGTTTGCTCAGGAGGCCATGGTGGCGGAGGCCTGGCTGACGGCTCAGGAGCCGCTGATCAACAGCAAAGAGCTGGGAGGGAGTGTGGACGAGGTGGAGCAGCTCATCCGTCGACACGAAGCCTTCCGCAAAGCTGCCGCCACCTGGGAGGAGCGATTCAGCTCACTGCGACGCCTCACCACGGTATCTCCTCCCCTCTGATTTATTTAGAAAGTCTGTGTTTCTTATGTTGAGGCTTATTTTTTTATTTAGAAAGTCTGTTTCTTACGTTGAGGCTTATTTTTTTATTTAGAAAGTCTGTTTCTTACGTTGAGGCTTATCAGTGTACATTGCCAATGCAATGCACACTATTGTGATTCATTTCCCATCCAAGTCATCTCAACTTTGCCATGCTTCTCCTCCTGCATACTTTGTCCTAGAGCTGCCATTGTAATTTATATCTGTAAAGCCCCTGTGCCAAATTATGGCTATGCCTTTTGGTGCCTGTAAAACTTATAGTTTTTGAAATATTAATGTTTAATAAATTATAATGGCAGTCAATGGAGCTTTGTAATGGTCCAATACTGCCCCCTGCTGCCTCTACACAATATGGTACTGCACCATAGTTTTATTATATTTAAACTCAGTAGTTCAGTGATTACAATATTAATATGAGTGTATTTTGATGTTTTACTGTAATACTGTCTTTATGTTGTCCTATTGCTGTAATATATTGCACTTAAGTGTCAATAACTGCATTGGCAAGGTAAACTTTTTCTGTATACATACAATCCAATCCCTGGGACTGTCCTCTGCCACATCTCCTGTAGTCTCATGATGAGCACTGTGGGCTTTCATGCGGGAGATCAGGGTTCAAATCCAGCTACTGCAACTTTAACAAAAATCTCTTCAAACTTCATATTGTCACACAATTACCTTAATTACAAACACCTGCTGATGTGACAGGTACAAGCTGGTATAGAAAACACATTTGAACTTTGTCAAAGTTCATTCTGACAGTCCAATGCTCCTGCCTACATTGTCCTACAGCTGCCATTGTAATTTATATCTGTAAAGGTCCTGTGCCAAATGATTGCTATGCCTTTTGGTACCTGTACAACTTGTAGTTTTTGAAATATTAACGTTGAAACTTTATTCCAAATTCATAAAATGAGAGTCAATGGTACCTTGTAATGGTCCAATACTGCCCCCAGCTGTACTCAACTTGGTACTGCACCATGGTTTTTTATATTTAATCTCAATAGTTCAGTGTTTACAGTACTAATATGATTGTATTTGGATGCTTTACTATATCATTATCTTAATATTGCTCTATTGTTGTAATATTATGCAGTTTAGTGTCAGTAATTGTATTGGCAATGTGACCTCTTTCTGCACACATACAAACCAACCCCTGGCACCACACCCTGCCACAGCTCCAACAATCTAAGGTTTCAAAACCCAGCTAAAGCAACTTTAACAAAAAATCTCTTCAAGTTTGAAGAGATTTTCATATTGTCACTCAATTACCTTAATTACAAACACCTGCTGACATGACTGGCACAAGCTGGTTTAGAAAACACATTTGAACGTGGTCAAAGTTCATTCTGCAAGTCCAATGCTGCAGGCAAAGCCATGCTGCAATGACATGCTACATGGCAATGCACACTTGTTTTTACTTCATAAAAACCCATGTCTAGTTTATTTATTTATTTGTTTTTATTTTTTGCAGGTGGAAAAGCTGAAAGCCGAACAAAGCAAGCTGCCGCCAACCCCTCTCCTGGGCCGTAAAGTCTTCCTGGAACCCCAAGATGCGTTAGCCGGTGCGACAAACCTCCCGCGCCTCCCCGTCTCCCCCGTCATGAGACAAACCATCTACGAGCAGAACGAAGCCAGCTCTCCTCCGTCGCCATCGCCCGCCACCCCGACGCCCTCGCCGTCGTCTGTGGCTCGACGGCTGGGCTCCACCGTGGCCAACTACACCCCCGTGATGAACGGTTCCTCCTACCACCACACCCTGGAGCCCCGGCACGGCGGCGTGGCGGCGGGTTTCGGACAGCCAGCCCCCTCGTCGATCGCGTCCGTCGCCACTGCAGCCATGTTGGTCTCAGCCAACCAGATGAGAGAGAGCGCCGGCGCAGCGAGAGAGCATGTCACGAAGGCGATGAGCCACCTGCAGCCACCAGGCAGGGAGCCGGAGGCGAAATCCTCCCCGTACCTTCGCCAGCCCAAAATCAAACACCTGGACGACGCCGTGACGCCGCTGCTCGTGGCCAGCCGGCTGGAGAAAGTCAGGGGGCGGGAGCGGGACGCCAAGGTCGGGGAGGTGGGACCGGAGAGAGCGGAGGTGGCGGTGATGGCCGAGGTGGTGCTGCAGGAGCCGGGTCGGGAGCGCCTGCACAGCGAGCCCACCAGGGGGCCGCGGGGGTCCAGGCCGGACGCCTTTGGCCGCGCCGAGCCTCAGGTTCAGACGCACACGTACCACCGGGACCACCGGATAGAGCGGCAGCTGTCCAGCGAGCAGCTGATCCAGGCTCGCAGGGACGAGCTGCCTCAGGAGGTGTGGAGGGAACAGGCGGAGAGGAGGGAGAGGCGCACGCTGGAGAGGCAGACGTCCAGCGAGCAGGAGGGCCAGGGGGGCCACGACGGGCGGAGGCGGGAGAGGGACAGGCACCGGACGGAGAGACAGGAGTCCAGTGAGAACGACATCGGGAGAGAGCAGTCGGACCGACGCTCTGCAGGAGGGTGAGACTTTAACACACTGAGGTTATTTTTTATTTTAACACAGTTTGCTAAAAAAATCTTTTTATTTTTTACAGAGAAAAGAGATCCACCATGGCAGAGATTGTAGAGCAGCTGCAGGAGAGAGAAGCAGCACAGGTCTGTCCCTGAGCACTTCGCCCCATCATAAGACCATCTTTTAATGGGGACATATCCTGCAAAATCCACTTTTTTAAAAGTTAAACACATTTTCTTGTGAACTTGGAGTCCCTAGGAGGCAGAAAAGTTTAATTTAGTTTCTCAGTGCTGGTGTGGTGATTTTCTTACAACAAAACAGATGAATCCACTAAGCAGAAAAATGATAAACACCATGCTAAGTAGCACGTGGCTAACTTCTATAAAATTTATTTGCATTTTAGTTTTCAAATTGAATCAGCATCATTCTCAGGTTTAAAGAGATTTTTTGTTTATATTTAATCTTGTTTTATTTTGCAAAGAAATGCAACAGTGTTTGCATTAAAAGAGTTCAGCTGTAAAAGGGTCCTTAAATATTCACGGACCCTCTCTCCACCCTCAGGCCCGCAGTGAGACGCCTCGCCTGCCCAACGGCCTACCGGAGAAGTCTTCCCGTCCCGACAGGCCCCGAGCCCGAGACAGACCCAAACCCCGCCGCCGGCCACGTCCCAAAGAGCCGGGAGAGACCACGAGGAGGTCCAGGTCCGCTCCGGCTCAGAGCAACCCGGCCGTCCCCCAGCCTCCGACACACACAGCACACCATGAGGGCTTCCTGTTCCGCAAGCTGGACATCGAGATCATGAAGAAGAGCACCAACAGGTGGGTGTTCAGGGTCGGACCGGGCAGGTCAGGTGGACGAGGGAAGGATGCACTTCCAAGTGAAAATCATCTGAGTTCTTTAAAGCCACATTTATAGTTTGATACATGAGGCAGTTGGTTGGAGTTTACCTTCTGTATGTTGCATTTAGTGATTACTCTGACAACACTGGCATGACTTTAGCATGCTGGGTTACAGAGCTAACACGCCTGACAAATTGCATGACCGATATGTGGTCCTTACAAGCTGCCACCAAAAAAACCATTAAGATGTAGTTTTGATCAGCTGATTAGAGATGTTTTCTGGTCACTGCAGACTAATTTTATTAAAGGGGGGTATTGTGTATTTTCTAGGCCCATAGTTCAGTTCTACACCACAATCAGGTAACTGTTTTACCACCAGGTTTGGAAACATCTTGAAATTTTCCTCTGTCTCTTTAAGAACCTCCTACCATTTCTGACACTCCCTCTTCAGCACGTTTTTTTTAAACAACGCTTCATGTCGTTTACTACAGAGCCCGTAAGGGGACATAGAGGGGGGGAAAAATGGATCCTGACTTACTTTCTCAGGATCCTGAGAAAAAAAAGTTGTGGTTTACAACGGCGGAGGAGCTGGGGAGGGGTGCTCTGTGGGGCGGGAGCTCGGCTGCAGACTGAGCTCCCGGGAGGAGCTTTGGGTAAGTAGGTGGAGCTTTGTAGCAGCAAGCGTTTAGGCTGCTCTATGTGGCTACCACAGAAGATTTGAGGATTTCTCAAACATGCATGAATGAGTCAAAGCAACACTCTAGGTTCGTTTTTGATTATAACATGATATAAATATATAAAGTCCAAAAACATCAATTTTGCATTAACCCGCCCCCCCTTAATAACTATTAATCCATTATAGTTATTTTCCAAACTGGAGTACAGGAGTGTTATATATTAATTAAGCAGCTCAGCTAACATTGTAGCTTGTTGTCCAGAGCTTTTCTTGATATTTCAGTAGTTTCTTGAGGCACCATCATCATGAAGGTTACAGCTTCTGAGTATCTAAAGTAGTTATCACAGTCAGAATGTGAGGACAACAGTTACATGAAGAAAGTCCACAGCATGAGAAAACTTCATGCATGTTGATGCTTAAAATGCTTCCTGGAGACACGGAGGAGGGGCTTTATTCACTCGCAGGCTAACAGGCTGGATGGAGAAAGTGGCAATAGTGAAGTGAATGCTGGCCGTGCGCGCGCGCACACACACACACACACACACACACACGCGCGCACATACACACATAACCTGACCTCCACAGATCCTGCTTCCTCCAGAGAGACTCCTGGATGATGTCTCTTGCTCTCATCGCTGCCCTCTGGTGGCTGGACTGAGCACGCACAGCTAAAAGCTCATCCAAGCTCCAGCCGTGGATGAGTCCCACTCACGCGCCCACTCAAAGGCAGTGGATTGAATGTGCCACATGTACATGCCCTTTTATGTACATGACGAGGTAAAGCATGGTTCTGAAAAGGCTTAAATCTGGACCAGCTGCTTCCCGCGAGGCTGACCGAGCGCTCCCTGAACTGGAGCGGAACCAGTCAGCCTTTCAGGAAAAAGATTCAAGCTGTTTGTTTTTGCTTCATCACTTCCCATTTAGGTGCAAAAGACGTTTGTGTGCACATTAATGTTCTGATAATAATCTACAAAAAATAAAGTTCAGATCCTTCAAATAGTTCTTGAGGGTTTTTTTTTTCTATTTTTACTTATTTTTGTACAAAGGAGAAGTCATCACAGAAAATTTTATGTATTTTTAAAGCCTTAAAAATGTTTTTTTTTATGCGAAAACCTCAAGCAGTTTAAGATTTTTGTTTTGAATTTGTAGTTTAATGCGATACCGAATTTCTCCCAGTGGGCTGGAAGTGGCCCGCAGGCCATTATATAGGATAAATCTTGTGCCAGCAGGAATTGAATTTGAATCGCTTAAATTGAATCTGAATGTGCATAAATTGAAACTGAATTTAATGGTTTAAACTGAATTTAATGTTTTGTTTCTGAATTAATTTGCTTTGAAACTGTTTTTGGTTTATTAAATATTCAGTTTGACTACTTTCACTTTCAGTTCCATAATTCAGATTTTTGTGTCACATCCTGGTCCTTGAGAAAGCCAGGCAGAGTAATGAAACAGTAGCTGCGTTTCCATTGACCACGAAAATGCACAAATTAGAATTTCGAAAATAAATTTGCTCAATAGAAACACGTCAATTTCGAAAAAAAAATTATGTTTTTCGACAAAATGTTTTTGCACTAGGATGAGGTGGTTTTTCGGCCGTATCGAAATTGTTGTTTTTCGCAAAACTGCAATGGAAACACTTTTTTCGCATCACGGGGGTCACGTGATCAACAACCGGATGTTTTTACTGGTGAAAAAGACGACAAAGAAGAAGATAACAGGAAGTAGAAGTAGTAGTAAAATCTCTGAAGTAGTAAAAGAAAGTAGTAAACTCACCGACTACAATTTCCCAAAAACACAGCATACGTAGTCCCTCTCAAGTACAATGGGCTTGTCGCTGGAAAGCCTCGATAAAAGTCACTGACGTCTGATAATGAGCACTAGTGTGTCGTGGTAGCAATATGTTATCTGTTTACATCCATCGCCGCCATGTTTATAATGAGTTATCGCGAGAACAAACATTTTGACCCGTGACTTTAATTGCATTTCTTACTTAATGGAAACATCGCCATTGCAAAACAGTTTTTCGGCATTAACAGAATATCGACAAAGTTTTGCGCACATTTGCAATGGAAACGCAGCTACAAATCCACAGATTTACGTTTCACTTTGTTGAAGCTTCCCTTTCTGTGGATCTGTGTTTGATTACTCTGCCTGGCTTTCTCAAGGACCAGGATGTGACACAAAAATCTGAATTATGGAACTGAAAGTGAAAAAAGACAAACTGAAATTTTAATAAACCAAAAAACAGTTTCAAAGCAAATTAATTCAGATACAAAACTTTAAATTCAGTTTCAATTTATGCACATTCAGATTCAATCTGAGCAATTCAAATTCAATTCCTGCTGGCACAAGATTTATCCCATACATCAGTTGATGTTCACAGAATGTTTGATTGAAGTGGCAGAAATGGCTTAATCTAAATGTTCAACTTAAAAAAACAAGCTGTAACAGATGATGGAGCCATAATGTAAACAAGTGAAGACATTATTAAATTTATTTTTCTTGTTCTTTAAGGTTTTTTGAAACCAGAACAATAATGTGCACACGTGGTTCTTTTAGATAAAACTGTAGCATTGTGCAAGTGTTTCAGGCAAGAGAAGTGAATTTGTAATAAGTCTGCCCTCAAAAACCTAAATTAGATCTACTTTTTGTCGTTGTTCCATCATTTATTGTATTTGTAACGAAGAATTTGATGAAAAAAATTGTATTAAAACCCATAAACTTCAAGAAAGGCGGATGATCAAGTAACTGTTTGTTAGCAAAATGAGGTGAAACCTTAGAAAATGATTGTTGGGTGTACGACCACGACTCGATTCAAGATGGCCGTCACAGCTAATCTGCTTTAGCAAACACAAAAACGGCTCCAAATCAGTAAGAATGGTAAAAGGCCTGAAACTTTTGCACAGCCCTGTGTTTGTCTGCGCGCCGCCACAGAGGAATCAGCATGCCTCAGGTTTTTTATTTTGCCAAAATGGCATTTAACCAAACTTCTCTTTCTTTTTTCCTTCCTCTTCCCCGCTCCTGGCTGTTTCTCTTGTCTCCTCCAAGGTAAGTCAAACTCAGTCATCGCACGCAGGAGTACACGAACTGTGCGTAGACCCCGCCCCTCCATCCATCCCTCCCTCCATCCATCCCTCCATCCACCCATCCCCACCCCCTCCATCCGTGTGTGCGTCCGTTCATTTGTGTTTGTTCAGCAGTGTGTTTCCTCCTCCCTTCTTGGGGCTGGTCCATCCCGCCTACCTACCTGTGTGCTCTGGCCAGGTGAGTCAGGTGTTAGCGTAGCGGCGGCCACTCTGCAGCTTTTCCTGACTCCTCCCAATCTCCCCCTCCGACCTCCATCTCCCCGCCCCTCCCCTTGCTCCTCACTTTCGCCCCCCTTCGACCTCCCCCCTCCGCCTCCCCACCCTCTCCTCCCGCCTGCCCACACCACAGCAGGTCATGGGTCAACCTGTACTGCGTGCTGAACAAGGGGGAGCTCGGTTTCTACAAGGACGCCAAGAACACCTCGGCGCCGTACAACAACGAGCCGCTGCTCAGCCTCTCCCACTGCCACTGCGACGTCACCAACGGCTACAAGAAGAAGAAGAACGTCTTCACGCTCAAGTGAGGACTAAAATGTGTATTAAAGATGGCCGACAACGAGTTAAAACTGCTATAACATTTACAAATAAATGTTTGATTTGGTGCTGAAGCTCCCCTTTCTCACTTACAAGCCAAGTTTATTTAAATATTTATAAATGTTTTATTTCTTTTTGATGCTCTTAGTTTGAAGTTTATCTGCTAAAGATGCTACATGCTAACACACACGACCAGCACTGCTTATAAGAGCAGGTAGTTTTTGTTTAATTCTGGATAAACGCCATAAAAGTAGAATTTTTACACTTTTTGTAAGTGGGCTTAAAATTAGTGGAAGCTATTTTTTTGCTAACAGTTTCCAAAGTTGGCAACAATTAGAAGTTAATCTGCTAAATGAGAAGCTAGGTCTGCTATTAGCGGGTTAGCGGATTGATGTGATCAAGACGACCTAAACAGAAATAAAGGAAACTAGCGTCATTAAACGTACAGTATTTTGTACACAGCTAACTTAATACAGCTAATATTCACTAAATCGCTTCATGTGAGGTAAAGAGTTTTGGTACAAAGGTAGATTGCTAACGTTAGCTAGCTAGCTTTGCTAATGCTTCTTTTCTAAGTGATTAAAGTTGGTCTCTGAAAGTGAAGCGCTGCAGAATTTACAAGTTTTCTCCTGGATGTTGTTTTATAAATATATTATTTATGATTTATGCAGCTAAATTAAAATACATAATTATCAATGAGTCATGCTTGGATTTGATTCTACGTTTTACATCTCATGAAAGCAAAGATGTAAACAAATTAATTGGCCAACATTTTGGCAATTTGCAGATATTTTCACAGTTGTGGTCTTGAAATGAAATCCAGAGTCCTCAAGTGTTCGAGTATAAGTGAGACCATCATAAAAATGCCCACCACTAGTTTTAATTGACATCCACACTGAATGTTTCTGCAGGATTTCAGAGCCGTCAGGTCCAGTTTTTACTCTGAACAGAAGATTTTCTGTTATTTTGAGGATTTTAGTTGTCGCTTCATTATGTTTGTTTAAAGGTAAAAATAACTCTTTTCTCTCAATGCAGGACGAAGGATGGCAGTGAGTTTCTGTTTCATGCAAAAGATGAGGTGAGACCCTGATGGCGTTGGTGTCGTCACTTCATATTGTGACCCCAAACGTTCGGTAAAGCTAACGCTAACGGCGGTCTCTCCTCCCTGCGACAGGACGACCTCAAGGTGTGGGTGAGCAACATCACCACCAGTATCTCAGAGCACGAGGAGATTGCCAAATGGGGCCAGCCCCAACCAACTACCTCATCCACCGACGAGGGGACGCGGCGGGACGGCAGCAAGGTGGACAACCGGTCAGAGCGAGGCGGCGAGCGCTCGGACCGGGCGGACCGGATAGAGCGTGCGGAGAAGGAGAAAGAGAGAGGGGAGCGGTCGGAGAAGTCGGAGCGGGCCGGAAAGTCGGACGCTAAGCGCTCTGAGAAATCGGGTAAGAAGAAGTGAGCATGGCGGCAGATTGTTTGGGATTAAAACGTGTGAACAATGGCGGGGAGGCGGGGCCGCAGACAGGAAGTGACCGCCGCCCCCCTCCTCCCAACGACACCACCTTCACTCCAACACCGTCCACCAGGTGGCTGCGTTTGGACGGACGGACGAAGGATGGATGGCTCTGATGTGGAGCAGGTGGGTTATTTTGCTCCTCGCTGACTCCCCCTGGTGGCTGTTCTAGAGAACTGCAGGAGCTCTGGCAGCTTCAGAGACGAGCATCTCTTCAACTCAAAGGCTGTTACTGACTGCGGGAAAAAAAAAACGTAGCTCATTGTTCCACCTCTGTTTTTATTTACAGAAACGAGCCGTGTCTGTTCGTTCTTCTCGTCCGTCTGTGTGTGTCTGTAAAAAAACAAAACAAAAAAAAAAAACACAAAAAACACCCCACGCTATCTCATATTACTCCAGATTTTAACCGTTTGCATTTTGTTCATGAGCAGCACCGTGATTATTAACATGCATCTTCTGAATTCTGAAGGTTTTAGTCGGGAAAAGAGCTAAATTTTATGTAAAGAGGAGAGAAATTTGTTCCTGCATGAACCCAAAGGATTACACTTTATGTTCAAATCTCTTTTTCTTGAAGAATTTATGCAGAATTATTTATTTATTTGCAGCTTTCAGTCTGATTTATAAAACTTCAGTTATTGGATCTGTGAACACTCTGATTCCCAGAGGCCTCATTCATTAGACTATTCTTTTTGTTTTTCATTTAATAAGCAAATAAAACAGCATAAAGTTACAGTAGTCATATTTTGAGGAACTGTAGAGGCTATTTATATTTTTATATCTAAAGAAATGACTTGAACTTTATTGTAACCTGCTTCTCATCACACTCACTTGTTGTTTTGTCACAGTTTTGGTGTTAAGCACAAAAATCTGTTGTGTTTTTAACGAATGAGGCCTCTGGGGCTGAAGGTCGGCCTCGTCTTCTTTGTTTTCTTCGCCTCTGTTGTTTTATTTTTTAATAGAACATGTAAAAAAAAAAGAGGAAAAGCCACTTTAAGGTGTGCATGTGTGTGCGTATGCTGCTGCTCCCAGGGTCTCCATAGCTCTCAGGTTACGTTGGTGTGTTCTTAGCGTGTCGTCCTCTCCTCAGTCTTCCAGATTAAGCCCAATCCACATCCACACTTATTTTATTTTTATTCATCACAAAGACCCTAAGTCCCGAAATCATCTGAACGTGTCTGAACCAGAACCAGAACCTGAACCATCAAACAGCCTAAACCCCAACCTGCATGTCTCTGCTCGAAGAGGAACCATCGATTCTAAAGAAGTTTTGTTTTATTTTCTGTAAAAACGTCACAAAGCCATAAAAACCACACAAACAGGAAGTAGATTCTAATCAGCTGATCGACGGTTTAAAGATGAAAACATTCGTTACGGTTTGGATTTATTTATTTATTTATTTTTGTATAAAGTCTGTGTTTTCTGTCTTTTGTCCATGTTTTTGTTTTGTAAATTAATTTAAAAGGATAAACTTTCCGGTTGAATTTGTTTGTTTTTGTTTAACTCATGTTTAGCTTTGCTCGTTTATTTTTTAATTTATACAAAATTAAACTGATTTAAACGCTTGATTTCAGTTGGACTTTAAATGACGTTTACTACAGTACATGTACTTACTGCTCAACGAGCAGGGTATTTTATTTTACAAATTAATATTTTGTTGGTAACGTCAGTTATCAGTATTTATATTTGTTTATTTTTAAAGCTTTTTACTGAATTAGTTTTAAATATTTTAATTTTAACCTTATTTGTCATCAAAGTATTTTAGGCTTTTATTTTGGCGGTAATACACAACCAGGTAAGTACCCTGTAAGTACTGGTACATACCTGGTAATTACAGCTACATACCTGTTACTCAGTACCTGGTATTCACTGAGTATATACCTAGTACTTACATACGATGTAAGCTGTAAATACCTGCTACTTACAGACTACATACTATACTTTCCAGGTACATACCTGGTACTTACAAACTATATATAACTTTTATGTATTAGATACCTACAAGCTTTGTTCAAGGTAAGTACTGAGTACATATCTGGTACTGCCAGGTTAAGTACCTGGTATGTACTGAGTTCATACTTTGTCGTTATAAACTATTTCCCCGGCAAATACCAGGTACACACTGGGTACATATGTGGTACTTACAGGCTGTGTACCAAAATAAGTACCTAGTTTGAACTGGTTATATACCTGCTATTTGCAAACTCTATTCTTTATAAGTATTGGGTACTCGCAAGCTCTTCACAAGTTAAATATTGTGTACAGATCTGGTACTTACAGGCTATTTACCAGGAGAAATACCTGGTATGTACTGTGTACATATTTGGTACTTACAGGCTATTTACCAGGAGAAATACCTGGTATGTACTGGGTTCATACTTGGCACGTCCAGGCTAAGTACCTGGTATGTACTTGGAACATACTTTGTTCTTATAAAGCTACTTCCCAGGTAAATTGCAGGTATATACCTGGTACATAGATGCCACATAGCCTGTACCAGATACCAACTGGATGCATACTTGGTACTTCTAGGTTGTGTACCTGGTACACATGGAGTCTTTTGTGTATTTCTACTTCAGTTTTTATTGTTCAGATTGTATTTCTGCATCAGACACAAAAACTCCATCAGAGTTAAAAGTCGTGAATTTTGAGCTGAAAGTCAAAACACGAGAAACAAGCCGGTACTTTTATTTTTATTTTTATTTTTATTTACCATCAGGCTGTTTGTCTTTACTCTCCTCTCCAGAAACAACGACGAATAAACTACTTTTTGATTTCTCCTTCATGTTTTTTTTTTTTACATTTTGATTTAAATGGTTGGTTAAAATGCTTCCTCCACTCTCACGAGGTTAATTAATAATTATTAATTATCTAAACGAGCTGAAAACCATCTATAAATAAAGTTAAAACCTGTATTTTTGTTGAACGCAGGGAGAAACTCATGAACATATTTAACATCTCTGAAGTTTGGAGTAAAACATGTCTGATGATGACGATGAGTTCAGGGATTTGTGTTGTCCATGATGATGATGATGATAATGATGATGATGATGTCCATGGGACTTTATGCAACTTTTTCTTTGCACTAAGAGACGCCGGCCCGTCGTAGAGCCGAGGCCAGGTGAGCAGTGGTTGTGGGGGATCCAGAGGGATACCAGATCCAAACAAATTACTGAAAAATGATCAAAGATTCATCTGAGGCCTTAAATTAAACTTTATTTCTTTTTGTGAACATTTTACAGCTGCTGGCTTGAATAAGAAGCGATGCTAAACTTCCATTATTCCTCAGCGGATTCGTTTTTACTCTGTTTTTCTTAATTCTGTTTTCTTTTTGAATGAACGATCTTTGATTTTTGCGTCACGTTGTCAAATAAAACAGAAGAAGCCACCGACGTCTGCGCTGTGTGGAGTTAGAGTTTAACTGTTTCTATTCTGTTTTTACACTCAGGAAAAAAGATTGAAATCTGCATCCATCCTCTGTCAGAATCAAACAGTCTGTCTTTATGTGCAACAAACACACACTGCCTGAAATAAACTGCATCGTTATCAGAGAATAGATTTCAAAAAGGGCTCAGGAGGATTTTACTTTTAATCCTGTTTCTTTGTGTTTCTGGGGACAATCAGTTCAGCTAAATTTAGTTTAGTTGTTTTTTTAATGGAACTAAAGCTTCTTATAAATTATCTGGTCAAATTTAAATAAATAAATTAGGACACAGGTGCAGAATTCAGTTCATTTCTGCAGAAACATCAAAGGAAGCACAAAGTTTCTTTGACACGAGCAACGATGACGTCGCGTTTTCTTCCAGCTGCCAAAGACTCAGAAGCAGAAACTGGGTTTAACTTTCTGCCCTCTTAAGACCCCCGAGCACCACTGTCCATCTGCCCCCCCCCAACACACACACACACACAGAGTCATGTCTGTAAAAACAAACCAATGAGAAAATATTTTCTTCACGACGACGCTGAGGAAACTGCCTCTTTTGTTCGTTGTGTTCCACGACACAAATCCCACCCGGACCCCGAGCTGCATGAACAGAACCGCTGCATGCCCTAAAGTCCCCTGAGTCCACTTTAACCTTCACCGAAACCCCCCCCCCCCCCCCCCCCGGCCCATTCTGACAACATGAAAAACAGGTGAATGAATGAACCGGTTCTGGATAAAGTGATCAGCTGTAAATCAC